CTATTCACGGGTAAGCTATAATAGAAAGTTGGACTGACCACGTAAGTAATGTTCACACACAGTCATTAGCCATTGTTGCGGTAAGACGTGTGTCATTTTGAGAAGGCCGAAAAACCAGACAGAGTCATCGTGACCACCTATGAAACAGGGTAAGTGTTAACTCTGATCATCCTACTATTCTATGTATACTTTTATATCTATACTTTCATATTTCGTCGGGTATTAGATCATTTAGAGTGTGCATGCATTGTGTAGGTAGGCTAGGTACGGGTGCGCGTCACTCATGTGTATAATGTTTACGAGTATGTAGTTCACCGCTACGGCGTGTGTACGTATGTTACAGAGTGAGATAACATAATAAGTAACTTGTATGTGTTAATTAAGTTATATAAAGCTGATCGTTATGATATATCATGCTAGTACTACTTACAGTATTTCAAGTGGTCATGTTTTGTAACATTAATCAGTCATTTTATACCTTGTCAGTGTTATTAAGGCATACATCGGGGTATTGTTCAATATGCATATGGAGACATAGATAATTTACAATATATGTATGTACATATGTTTTAGGCATGCACACATAGCCATCTTTAATATATATATATAGTTTTATAGCATAATGGTTTATTTTCTATGTATAGTGTTATACCAGATATCATTATATAGTTTGAACATATTAGATAAAGTGTGCTAGTTTTGGAAGAGTGTGTGTACAAGTAATATTATTATTATTATTCGTGTACATCTGGACTTTACAGATGTCTCATTCCAACTCGGAGATAAATGGCCTAAGGTGGATTGTGGATAAGACAACCAACTAAACATTGGTTCCACATTGTGAATTTACTCGCCAGACTGCCTACAACATTGGTGCGCCAGAAAGCACGTAGGGGTCGGAGTGACAACACTTATGGGACAGAAAGCTGGTATGATGCTGCGGCTACAGCTTATGTCATTCCTCGTCATCAGCAGATGATATCGGGTGGAATCCGGGAATTCCGGGAAGTTGAATGGTGCTGTCGTCATTTAGACAGATATTGTTTTTCTACTGGGACCAGAATTGAACAGTAATTCAGTGAGACACCGTAAGGAGATACAGAACAGAGAAAGGCCATGAACTTTATATATATATATCTTATAGTTTCATTGTAGATATTCATCTGTATGAATGAGTGAATGAGGTGTATGTATAATCATATGTATGTGTATAGTGTATTACTTTGTAAATAAACTGTATATATGTATATTCCTTGTCCGTCTACACGGTTTTGGCTCTCTTTAACATAGTATCAGGGACTAAAACCTTATCAATAAGACTGGCTCCATTGTTACTGACAAACGTACAATGACCTTTACTACCACCACTTGTTTACCATTCAAACTTTGAAGACCAGTTGTTTTGCAAAGAGACAAAAGTTGCCTTCCGAATTGGTTAACATATAGGTCCATATTTACCCTTTACAAACATTGGAATCAGGAAGGTATTCGAATATATGGGATAAAATATGGGTTGAAAATTCACTGACTCGATCAAAGGCACCTATTGCTAAAACGTCACCATACTCTTTATATTTACTTACAGTTTCCTCTAGTAACATAAACAAATCTAAATCATTCCTTTCATAATACGTGCTATTCACGGGCGGGAAATAATGAACAGCTAATTAGATATCCCTTCTAGATTGATATGACAATTTACACTGATGCTATCTGTAACAGTTTCAACAACTAGACATTTCTCAGCTATACAAGATTTGATATATATTACAATACCCCCTCCACGGCCGTGGAGTCTAGGTATGACATGATCAGTATACCCTGTCATAGATATGTCATCACTTCTAATCCAGCATTCGTATAAACATGCAATCTCATTTTTACATAAAATGTTTAAAAAATCTAGATCATTCAGTTTATCAACAAGTGATCTACTGCAAACATTCCGTGATAGAACGTTAACAGTAGAAAGTTCACTCTCATCATCATATACAGTCTTAAGGGTAGTTTCACCTTCATAGAGCGCCACCTTAAATCTGTTACACTCCGTTTCAATTCATCTTTATCAGATTTCAACTCATTCACTAGTTTTCGAGACTTTCAAAGTTCTCTTTTAAAGGCGTATATGCATGGACTGCTCTTTTCTTGTAGAATAAGTAAGTCCGCAAGATATTTATTTTTTGTCACCTTTATTTTCTTTACGTTGACCTAAACGTGTAACAGTGGCACTCGGAATTTTATTGATTCATGTAATGGGCATTTTTGTTTGTTTTAGTTTTATTGTTAGAAAAATTACTCATTTGTTTGTGTTTTGTTCATCAATATTGACATTGTTATTATTTTGTATGTGTTATATTTCTAATAAACAACAACAACAACATTCAAAACCAAGCAATTAAAGCGTATCTTACTGTGAATAAGTATACTTCCAATACTGGGATCCTTGGAGATTTTGGATGGTCATCTTGTCGGTCAAAACAACACAAAGAAGTTTTAAGACTTTACTGTAGACTACAAAATGTGGATACAGATAGGATCTATTCAAAAACGCAGTAAACTCCTTTAGATACATAAGGTGTATATTTAGTCATCTAGGAAAAGGAACTCGTGGGAAGGGCGTGTCCGCAATTTAGGAAACGAACTTAAGGTTTCAAATATACTTAACACTCGCGCATCTGTTAAAAGCAAACTACGTATGATTACCGGTTCCATTAACAGCAATGATGAAACTTTTTGGTTCTCGAAATTATGGAGCGACAAAATTTTAAGCAGTCAACTAAGAACATACAGAAGATATAAAAAAGACAAGGTAAAGGAACATTATATAACGTCACTTAATACCACGTCACTATCGGAGCCACCTCGCTAAATGTTGAAAACTGGACGCTTCACAGTAACCTGTCAGTAGAGCAAAGGAAATGCCCTATTTGCTTAAATATAGTGAAAGATGAGTCTCATTTCCTTTGTGACTGTCCTGTGTATAGTGATATCAGATATGATCTATTCAAAAACGCAGTAAACTCCTTTAGCTATTTTGATGAACTTACTTCAACTGAAAAGTTGTTTTATTTATGGCAGGATAATGCGCTTCAGTTTACACTTTCTAAAACATTTTTTTATGATGAGACGGAGGCGGTCGCTTTTAAATGTGTAAATATACAATTGTAAATTATAATGTATCGCAATTTTGATTTAACTGTAATGTGATGAAGAAAGATATGTGAGTCCAATCTCTACTACGTCATAAACAACACGACACAAACATATCAGTTTGCCCGCCTAGCCCGCCGTGCGCTATGGTCAAGCATTTAATTGATGTGCTTCAAAAATACCATACATTGACAACGTTCTTACACAAAAAAATCTTACATATGCAATTCTAATGCTATTATTATACATACATATCAATCTGTACTTTTATCTTGCTCACGTGTATCTTTCCCCTTGTGATACAAAAGATAACACACTAGTGCGATACATGTATACTAGAGAATAGGAAACCGAGCGAGTCACCCAACCTGAAAATAACTGGTAAACCAGACAAGTCAGGAGTTGCACCAGCCCTTCAAGGCTCGAAACTTAAAGTTGCTGGGATTACTCTACCATATCCACGTTACGCTAATCCACTGGCCCTTCCAAAAGCTATATTATTAAAATTTAATATGACCGTCGCGCTGGAAAGGCGGGTAGGAAATGACCCACGTACCCGATACGCTGACACGTATCGCACGTGCTACATACAGAGCCAATCCGATTGGCTAAGCACACTCGGCAATATCCGTATCGAACCGATAAGACAAATAATTCCCACTATTCTCCGAACCGCGGGAATATGTCCAATAGCTAATACGTCATATACAACAAGACACAAACATATCAGTTTGCCCGCCTAGCCCGCCGTGCGCTATAGAAAAAAAAACAAAGAGGAAAAGTTACCCAAATTTATCTAGCCATATGAAATTTACCCTCCGCTTACAATTAACGCCTAAATACCGATCTTCTGGCTCACTAGTAACCGATTGTCTAAACTAGTCTTGACATATAGCCGTCCTTCCTCAACTGTGAGCGCCACCTGCCATGCCTCATCAGACACCTATCGCTCACACCTTGCCCAGATGCGGCCGAAACCCCTCCTGCACGCAAAGAATGCAGCCCGATATCAATATCCCCGGCTACTAATCTTAGGCGCTTTACTACAGACTCTCGAACCGCCGTGTAACTCAAATGTTTGTGCTTAAAAATAAATCTGCACTGCGTTTTCGATCGCACTACCTGCTTAAACAAATAATCCTCAGACTCAAAATCGATCTCGGCGAGATCAGCGTAACGAAGGAGCATAGACAAGGGGCATGCTGAAGTAGTGCCCTTACTAACGACAACCTCGTCCCCTTGACGATACTGATCAATCTTACTCTTTCTAATTTTAATCGAAAAATGATCGTCCCTTATCGAAATATCCAAACAAAGAAAAGAAACGAATTCATTAAATCTTGAAAACGCGGCGAAACTCAACAAAATCATTGTGAGGTCCCTCACAATCAATAAATCTTTACAGTCTTTGAAAATGTCATATAGCTTGATAAGTATATGTGAAGTCACATGTTCCTTCTTCTTAACGTGAGCTTTAACAGTTCGTCTTGCTGATTCCACAATATTTCTGACAAAAATGTTATTGGTAGGATCCGTCAATCCGGTGATATCGTGCGCCCATTTGATGGCGTACATGGCCGATCTGTCACCGCAGTTGAAGCACCGTTGTCTAATAAATGCGTCAAAAATAATGCAATGTGAATTGAGTCGGCTGGCAAAGCCTGGCAACCTTGATCGGTTATGAAACTCTCCCATCTCCTAAACATAGCAAAATAATTCGTGTTGGTACTATCCGCCTTGCATGCCGGAAGTCTGGCCGTCATACTACTGCCTAGCGTACGAAGGTAAATGTAACTCCCCTCCTCTATTCCGGCCTCCTTGAGCGCCTCTCCAACGTGCTGTTTTAACCTCAGACCTGCAGGAAAAGGAACACGTATTCATAAATCTTACATGAACCTGAATGCCAACATTCTGAATTCTAAAGTAGTATGGCCAAATATCCCGTTATTACCCCTACCAGCCATTGTCACCTCGTCGAGACCGAATGAAATCCAGTCGA